TTCTATTTTTCATTTTACTTTCAGTGCTTCCGATTGAAAATGTGTGAATTGTCAGTGCAGCTCGATGAATTGCTACTGTGGAAGATCGTTCAATTCGTACAAAGTGAGCAATTAGTTGTTTTCTGCTCACTTAGCTGTAGTTTTTGTTGGTTAGTTGCGGAGACGAGGGAGGCAGAATAATTTTTTCCTGTTTTGCATGATTATTTTGGTAAAATATTGGATGTTTTGTCTAATTAGAATAGAGCTGTATATTTTTGTGAGTCTTTGCTAGAGAAGCGCTGTAGCGCTGTTCCAGTAAAAAAAAAAAACGCATGCTGTCGAGAGGTCGTTCACGTATATATGTGTTTGGAAGCGAATGGACATTGTCATTCACTTTCAACTCAACAATTAGGAAAACTGGGGGGCTGAAATTTTGGGGGCATTTTCCCACCCCTATGTGTCACCCTCTCTTTTCTAAATATTCATTCATGCGTTCTTAGATCTCGCGTATGGACCCCGAAAAAAATATCCAAATTTCTTTGGCGGGAAACGATTTCGTGACCAGGACAAGACAGAAAGCTGAAACTTCGCAGAGACATTCTCTGTGCATTTATGAGCTAAAGATTTCAAATTCGGCTATTGCACGCGCTTATACCGCGCGTACAGTCATATCAAAATTCGCATTTGACATTGTGTCAGTTGGAAAACAGTATATGAAATTTTGTCAGAATATTTGTTGTTCATGTGGAAAATCGTATATCTATACTGAGTTTCGATTTGCGGCACAACTTAGGGCAATTCGGAGGTATTTATAGCGAATTGGCTATTTCGTTACCATAAAACTGCGAAGCCGAAACTTTACAAGGGTATTGCATGTTCACGTGTAATCTTAATCCAGCTTGGAGGTGGAATCCCCTGCACTCGGACTTGACAAATGCACAATTTTATCGCAAGCTCAAAAGTGATTGTATTTTGTGGATTTCGTAGTCCTTTTGCAAATTTCAAATTTGCATTTCTCCCAGTGAAGGACGATTCATCGGAAAAACGATCGGGCTGCATGCAAAAACCGGACAGTTATGAACGCTGGAGGTTCATGCGGTGCCATAATGCAACACTTTCGTCCCAGGCCGACTCCTTTTCCTCCTCCATGCAGAAGTCAAAACACAGGTGATATAAACTCATAGGCAGATCAAGACTGGTATGCTGACCGGGGGAGGGGAGCGATTTTCTCTTTAAAGCCGGAAATATGTTGTGATAATTTTGCAGAGACAGAAACAGCAGAAAGCATGAAGCCGGTAGCATTATTACAGCCACCAAATACAGAACTTGATAAATTGGACCGAGTGCAAGCGCGTCGATGCTATTTTGGCACGTTGGACCTAGAAGTAGGAGCTGTATCACTTTCAGGTAAGGGCATCCTTGCTCGGGCTTTTCTGTGCTACTGAATTTTGCTGTGCATGCGCATCCCTACTAGTGGTAATGGGCAATTCTGATTTAGTTGTGACTGTTGGAACGAGCGCTCTGCCTCTGGAATTGCGCAGAT